GGCCAGCGGTGCTGGAGGCAGCAGCGGTGTGGGGTGCTGATGGAGAGGATGGCAAGGCATGCTCCTTCCCTCCCCCCGCCCCTTCCCCCACTCCAGGGAGGTGACAGTGGCGTGGGTTGGTGGGTGGCAGCACTCTGTCCCTGCCGGCTCCCCCCCCCCCCTCCCATTTTTCTTGACTGGCAATTGGCTAGTCGTATTATAAGGAAATAATTAGGTTGTCAGCATCTCTTAATTACATCCTGTTGTAATCATGGGGGGGGCGGGGGTAAAAAAAAAAAAAAAGTCGTATGAACGTGTCTCTAAATATCTAATAAGGGCTTCAAACACTAAGATGTCAATTGAAAGGAAGTATTGTGTTTGGCATCACTAGAGAGTAGAATTGAGTTACGTGGATCATACTATATCATGTTTTAGATTTCTTAGGTTTAAATTTAGCTCCAACTTCCCCTGAGGTTGTCCTCAGGGAAAATAGTGTGCCCTCTGTGCTGTGAGGAAGTAGAAGGCAATGCTGTGAGGAGTTGTCAGTGGAATCTATCTTGGCTGCAAAGGGAAGATTCTGTCCTAAGTGTCATTGGGAACAACTGCAGATGGCAGCTGTTTTGAAACCCTGTAATTTCATGGAGCTTCATAACAAACAAAATATGTGGTGTTCTTAATCGAAAACATTTCCATCAGTGGAAGCTGAAGAAACGTACAGCTACCTCCCCCTGTCCCATACTTTAATCAATGTGTCTGTGAGTTTTACATATGTGGGAAGCTTAATGGAATACAGACTTCTCAAAATTAGGGCCAAAAAGGGGTGAACATAAGTACTTACTTTTGAAAGGAAGTGGAGATGCACTTATTTTTTTGATGCAATAAAATATTTGAATCTGGTTCAAGTACAAAACGCATCCTGATATAACCAAGGTTAACCACAATCTGTGGCTATCTCAATAATATACATACGATCCATCCTGTGCATTAAATTGTGAGTGTCACTGTTGGGCCCCACGTGTCAGATCTAGACTGTAGGCCTTTGTGAGCCAGACAACCTTTAAGTGGCAGTGTTAATTTCTTCCTGGGCTATTGAAGTTGTTTCAGCATAGCCCCCCCTCCCTCTTTTAACTTTACTGCTGATTCTGGTTGCTAGGATGACTAAAATCCCCTGATTTGAGGGGGTAGTGTCAGGGGTAGTGAGAGATAAGTAGTGTTAATTCCTTAGGTTCCAGAGCTACTCCCAAACACCAAACCTGCAGGATGTTTGATTCACTTGCATTAAATTAAACCGGATTGTTGTGCATCCAAGAGCTGCTTCCTTTGTGGTCTGTCTGAATAGTACTCATATTTTCTTAAGTATTATTGGGAGCATCTACATGTGCCTCTGGAGTAAAAAAACTCTGCAGCATGGTGGTACTTGTAAATACAAGATGTGCAATGTTTACCGCAGAGCTAATTAGTCTACTCAGTTAATGTCTCATGTAGACATGCTGCCAACTGGGTAGTATTGATGGGCTTGGCTCCAACAATTACTACATGGGCAAAAAGCCTGAAGTTTTGTGTTTAGGGCTGAAGATTTGCCCAAGAGCCCTGAAATTAGTCAAGTATTGTTAAGATGTATATTCTTTCTTTATTAAAAATAAAAATCCAGAACCTTATCTCCATTGGTGATTCTTTGGTTTAGCAGTTGAAAGCTAATTTTAAAAATGAACACAGTATTTTTTTTCAAGACTCAAAATAAATCTTACGATGTTGATTTGAAACATAATGCACATAGCAGATACTCATAATTTCATTTTTTTTTTTCAAAATAGCCAAAGCACTTTGGGCAGTATAATGCAGTTGTAATTAACTGTTAGATTAAACTAGTTCATAAATCTTCAAATAAGTGTTGCGTATTGTAAAGGAAAAGCCTCAAACTTCATTCAGAAGTCGTTAGATTTTTATGAAACCTAAGTAAATGTGTCCTTAAATTTAAATTAATTAAAAGGAGGTATTTTTAAAACAGATATTCCCCTGAACTGCTTCAAACCCAAATATTTCAGCATTTGCCTTGTTACAGTGCACAGCAAAAGCTAAATTACCTAGTGGATTTTTATTGATCAAAAGAGAAGATGCAAAAATAAACTCAACTAGACTTTTAAAATTTCAGTTTTGATAAACATGTTAAGTGTTTTAAACTTAATGATATATTTTCATCTACAGCATTGTATCTGAGCTGTTATTGAAACTGTAAATTAAGAACCCCAAAGAAGTCCAAATATGTGTCTTCAATTTGTAATGATTTTTTTCTTTCAGGATTTTATTTTTTAATTTTATTCAAATTTATTTTTCCCAAGAATTCTTCTGTCCCTTCAACTCTTCCTGAACCCATGACAGCTAGTGAGGCAGCTGCTAGGAAAAGCCAAATAAAAGCCAGGTGAGTAAAGTGATGTAGAGCTTTGAAATCCTAATAAATCTGTTTTGTGTATCTGCATCTCTCTTACCTTGTTTGATTAGTATACAATAACTTACACTGATATTTTTTTTTAAGCATCTGCTGAAGTTTTCTTTAGTATTTGGGAATGTCCATCTTTGGATATCAATATGCTTGTATTTTACTTGCAGTTATTTCTTCTTGCTGAAACATGTATGTATACAATGATTGGACCAAGAAGTCTATAATGGAAGGAAACAGGAAAACATTAAATTTTTTAACCATTTTTTGAAACATTTAGTCTGATTAAATTTCAGCTGACCTCCCTGAGACGGTGTTCAAGGTGGCTGCCAAGCGGACAAAAGGCATTATCACTTTTGTTTTTGCTGCTTTATACTATTTCAAAATTTAAATGGTTAAAACTGTTTTCAGGTCTTAACCTTTTCAAATTGTCAGGTATTCTATCTTACCTTATTTATTTTGGTGGAGGTCCAGTACACTGTAATGGTCTGAGGCTTTTAATCTATGAGAGATTGTCAACAGATTTTTTTTTTTTTTCAAATTCAGGGTTTCAACTAGTCTGTATAAAGACTTGCATTCTCCATTGCCTGTGTTTCACTTTGTGAATACAATGGATGACTGGTATGTTATTCTGGGAGAGAATTAGAGAAACCCTGATTTTTTTTTTTCATGTTGTTTGTTTGATGTAAGAAAGCACAATAGAAAACTTTTGGAAGAAGAATCTATTCAGAAACTTGAAAAAGCAGAGACGTCACGATACAATTGTTTTCTGTGAAGTTCACCTATGAATAGGTTGAAGTATGAATTATCTTTTTCTGCAAGCTTTCAGGCTCAAATGCCCTTCATCAGGTTCTGAGAAAATTAATGATGGTAAAAAGTCCCCATAGGTAGGAAATAAACTTCATTTTTGCACAGAGGGAGCTGGAGATGGAAAATCTGTCCCTTTCGGTCCAGGAGAGTATCTCTGTGATTTATTCTGAGTACTTGGACCACCATGGTTACCAGATACATCCCTGAAACATGGAGGATGCTGAATTCCAGCGGATTTTGGATTTTAAACTTCATTGCAGTACAACAGGAAAGATTTTTTTTTTAAACCTCCATGCTTGCCATCTGACACTCCAGGGAAAGAATCGTACCTAATTTACATGACAAAGAGCAACTCAGGACAACTTACAGAGACATTCTCATGGACCCAGAGTGACAGATTTTCTATCTTTAGCTCCCTCTGTGCAAAAATGAAATTTATTACCTACCTATGGGGACTTTTTATCATCTCTAATTTTCCCAGCGCCTGATGAAGGGCATTTGAGCCTGAAAGCTTGCAGAAAAAGTTTTTTGCAATTTTCTAGTTGGTCTAATAAAAGGTATAATTTCTGAACAAAGAGTTCTAGACTTTTGCATTTCATAACTGGGTGTTAACTTTTGAGGCTACTTGCTTATAAAATGTCTCTTGGGTGGCTTTGTAATTTAATTTTTTTTTGCTAAAAGATCAAAGGGGCAAACTCACAACTTGCAGTTAAACTTGAGTGATACGCATCTAGGTAATTTCTGAAAATAGGACTGTGGCTGCAAAGTCACCTTGGTGCTTTTGAGACTTTTTTCCTCATAATTTCAGAATACTGTACTGCTACAAGTGTTTAAAACAAACAAAAAAGACCCCCCTCTCCAATTATTTTTGAAGGCCAGAAAGCCTCAAAATTCTACAGATTACTGACCACCATGAAAGGGGAAGAGAAGATTCTGTAATTCTTCTAACATTTTTTTTCCTTATTGCAGTTATCAGTTTCTGTAAAGCTCTGTGTTGGCCATGGTACAGTTGCAATACAGTTCACTGAAACTGTTTTACAGAGTTATACTTATAAATGTATGTTGGTTGTAAGGGATAAGTAAACCATTTAAGTTAATCTCGACTAAATTTGCTCCTATTTGAAAGTCAGTCATAATTAATGAATTGTCTCCTATGAACATTTTTCTCTGTAGAATAACAGATGCCGTTGGACCAACAGAAACCTCAATTGCACCACGACAAAGACCAAAGGCTAATTCAAGCACTGCCACTTCTAGCGTGCTGGCGATCCAGAGTTCGGCAACACCAGTGAAGGTACCAGCTCCTGGTGAACTTGGTAACCGTATGCAAAAAGGTTAGTGACCCAAGTTAAATAAACTGCAGGAAAATAGTGAGAAGCTTGTCTTTATTTCTTGCTTGCTTCTTTTTTGAATGCTAATTAGCTTGGAGAGCACTGTATTAACATGACTTCACTGTTTTTTGGTTCTGAGCTCGCATGTGCAGAGTTAAATCATGTGCTGCACAGTGCTGCTTTGTGCCTTCTAGAAGTTGTTGGATAAGAAGCAATTTGAAATTATAATCAAATGCATATTTTTCTCAAGGCTACCGTTCAGCAAGTAATTACCTAATAAAGGCTGCGCAAAAAGAACTTGGTGGTCTTTGAGCACTTAGTTCAGTGTATTTGTAATGCATTGCAAATGTTTGTGTCAGTAGGCTATAAAGTCTATGAATAACAAACATTTTTAGATGTGCAAATTTATATTTCCTTAAACTAAAGAACAGCTGTATTGCACCTGTATTGTGGGAGGCTCCAGTGTTTACCTTTTAAGCATGGGTACTTTCTGCTTAATTCTCCGGTAGGGCTAAGGACAGACATTACATACAAACTGGTTTAAGTGATCAGAAACTGGTTTAAACCTGTAACAGAACAGATGAAAATGGCTGAAACCAGTTTGAGATAAACCTTGTTGAGTGTAGTATCAGACTTAAGTGATTTGGCTCAAACTGGTTTATGTAATCTCTGTCTCAGACCCCTTGCTGATTTTAAGATAAACCAGATTCCTCCAGCATCCTGGCATGCTCTCTGGGCTGGGCGGAGCTCTCAGCTCTGCAGCAGAGCTGGAACCTCCCTTTTGCTGCCTGGCTGGAGCTGTCAGACTGCAGGTACAGCAGGGTCTGGCTGGCTTCCCCCTGCTCTATTCCCCTGCCCTCGCTGCTTCCTGCTGAAGCAGGAATCCCCCTCTTCCTACCCCCCCATCTCCCACATCACAGACCCCAGCCACATAGACCCTAGACATGTAGTATGCTAGCTAATGCCGAGAGATGTCTGCATGTACTGTCTCTAGTTTCACTGGGGCAGGCAGACAGAACAGTGACCACTTAAGGCCTTTTGGAGCTAATCAATAGGTCAACTGGTAAGCTGTTTAAGAAGAGTTTGAACTAATGGAGTGAGGATGTTGTTTTGTTGATGGGGTGATAATGTTATTGGCTCCCTGTTATCTTGCTTGCCTGTCAGTTTGCTGCAGACAGTATAAAGAAGCAGGGAGGGAGATTGAAAAGCTCCCTATCATCAACAGATGCATGCACTTCACACCCCACCTCTTGCCTCAGAGTGCTAGCAGGGGCATGGGGTCTGGCAACACTTTCACCCCATGAGCAGCGAGCAGAGAAAAGCCTGGGATGGTGCAGGTAGACCTTCCTAAACAGAACTCCTGCTAGGGCCTGGTGGCGCTCCTCCTCCCCTCCCCTCCCCCCTCCAGCTCAGTTTTGTGGAAGGGAGGGCTGCTTTAGCGCCCCTTGACTTCTAGCCTGAGCCACTGCAGGCATTTGCCTGAATTTCCTCAGTCCAGACAGAATGTCTGTTTGATTACAAACTGGTTCAGCCTAGCCAGGTTAGTCTAACCTGCAAAGCTTGAATCAATTCAGGCTCAGGCTTTTTGAATGTCTGTCCCTAGCCCAGGTGTAGAAGATAATCCACATGTCCAAATACACGTTGGTGTGGACAGACACATTACATAATGCATAACAGTTTATATTACATTACGGTCAGAATGGTAAGAACAGAATAAAATAAATAGTATATTTAAGTATTAGGTGGTAATTTTATTGGACTCTTCTGGGACTTGTGAGGACAATTGGAGCATGTTCAGTAAAGCATAGCCCTTGACCTAGTCTCCTAGGTGGCTTAGAAAGTATGGTCTTAGGAGCCAGGAGAGTTTTACATATGGCTAAGCTGGAGTCAGATTCAAAATTGAGAATCCTATGAGAGATGTTCAGAAAGGATTCTCATAAATTTAAACCTTCTCAAACTGTTGAAAAAAAGTTTGTAGTACTAGTAGTAGTTTACAATAAGAGTGCTAAAGTAAAAATGCAGCTGTTACCAGCATGTTTTATGCTACTGGATTTCATAAATGAATGAGTTAATGTAATATTAAAAAAATATTAGGAACCATGCAACCTGGAAACGGACAAGATGTCTTGTTGTCCCAAGGGACCAATCAGCACCCTTCTCAACAAAATAGAGTATTGCAGCAATTGCAGCAGGGGGATTGGAGATTACAACAACTGCACCATTTACAGCACCAGCAGCAACAGCAGCAACTACTTCAAGATGCTTACATGCAGCAGGTATGTGCTGATCTTACTGAAGAAAAATCCAGTTTTAAAAATAGTTAAATGCATGAAGCAAGGCCACTTTAAATTTAAAATCTATATTTTAGTTATAAAAAATATTTTTTTCTGCTGACGTGAAGGCTGTCACTTTTTCCAGGCAGAAAGCAAAGGTCTGTCTTCCCCTCCCATGCCCTTTATCTGTTGCATATGTGGCATTCCTGTGCATAAGAACTATAATGTTTACCTTATTGGCAAGTTACATTTTTAATATGCTAAATAGATGCTTTTTTGTGTTGGTACTTTAACTTTTATTCTGCCTGACTTCTGAATTTAATTCTTGTTGGCAATGGTTGTCAGGAATAGCTGGTTCTTTTAAGATACCATATCTGCGTGATTCTCACTCTTTTTGGTCTTACCTCCTTATTAGTGAGACTCTTTTTTAAGTTTTCTGATTATAGAGGACAGTGTCTTTAAGAGCATGAGCTGTGTTCCCTTATAGTTGGTGTGCACCATTTCCTGTTGTTAGCATTCTGTTAAAAACATTCTGATACTTTTTGGGCCATGGCCAGTCAAAGTGAACTCCCCTCTTGAATTCTAAGGTTTCAGCTTTTCTGTTGACTCTGTGTGTTCTTATCCAATATATGCAGACTTAGTCTGTCAAGTATGAGTCCCTGAATTGCTAAAGAGAATTACATTATTTTATGGGGATACTTTTTTACTGGACCAACTATGTAGTTAGGTTAACATTAGATAAGCTTTCTGATGCTGGATGTTCTTTGTCAGGACCTGAATACATAGTTGGTCCAACCAAAGATATTACCCTCAGAAATCCTTTCCTCTCTCATAATTTCTGGACTTCTGTGGCTACAACATCACTCTCACACTATCATTATTTTATGCTTCTGTGGTGTGCTTAAAATGGTGCTGTAAATAAAAACATGACATAATTTAAAAAGAAATTTAACAGTAGGCAGGTTTAACGGATCTTCTGGACCCATAATATTTTTTTCTGCTTTGTGAAGTACTCAATTGAATTCTCATTTAAATGTTTACTTTAAAATAGTCTAAATACTTGCCAACATTTTAAATCTTGTACCAGAGTGATCTGCTTAGTGCAGGGGTGTCAAACATGGCCAGAGGCTGAATCTAGCCCATGGAGCCCTATGATTTTGTTCATGGGTCTCAGACCAACCCTGCAGCCAGTTTGGTGTGCAGGCTGAACTCAGTGTCATGCAAGCTGCATGCAGCAGAGAGGGCCAGCATGGGGCATGTATCCTGCCTCTCCATCTGCCCTATGTTCTTGTGCTGGCACAGCCTGATTTGGACTGGCCCTGATACCAGCAAGTAGGGTCAGTCCAGCAGGTGCCCTATGCAGTGTGCACCCCTTGCTGGCCCAGTGTACCATGTGGAGCAGGACCACTGCATTCTGAATGTGGCACATGGGGTTGGACTGACTGCATGAACTGTGTGTGGCATGGGGCTGGCACAGAGCCTGTGCTGCATGTGGTGGCCTGCAGACAAGCCCAGCAGCCCTTCTCTGGCCTGTAAGGCTGTATGAGTTTGACATGCCTATTTTAATGTGTTGATTTTAGTAGTGACTTTATTTTTCTTTAATTGTAACTTTTTCACTGAAAATGCTGCTGATGTGTACATGCACATGCATTTATTTGAAACTGAATAGGAATATTTGACTCATAGGTCACATCTACACATGTGCAGATGTTTGGTTCCCCAGGGACAACTAGCAGCAGGACACCTTGTGCCACTGCTAGTTGTCTCCAGGGAACGCCTGTGCCATGTGCCCTCTGTTGCGTGGCAGGTTACCTCAGATGGGGTAGGGGTGGCTGGCCCCAACACTGGGCTGGCCCCAGCAGCCTTACCCGAGGGCCTCCTGGGGCTGCAGCAGTGTCAATCCTGCTGCTTGGAGCAGGCCAAAGTGTGGCTTCAGTTTTGAGCTGAGTGTGCTGCCCTGGTTTGCACTGCTCCACTTTTTTTGCACAGGTTTTCTTGACCCCTGGATATCCAGGGGTAAACAAAAAAACCCTACATTGCTACCTTGCAGTGTGGGGAACAGCTGCATGTGTGGTACCTAGCGCCAAAGACACTGTTCATTTGAATGTGGCCATAGAAAGTTTTTTTGGTTACTTTTTCAGAGATCTCTTTTTCTTTCCAAATATAGTATCAAGCAATGCACCAGCAGATGGTCCAGCAGCAGCTCTTGATGCAATCTATGTACCAGCAGCAGCCTTCCCAGTCCCATTATCCTGCCATGGTATGTCATATCTGGATGCAAGATTACCCTGATTTTAGATAGTTCATTATAAGGGCTAATTAGTATTCCTGTTGAGTGAGTATACGGCCTGCACTAGACACCTTAAATATTGGGAAGAGGAACATTTTAATGTGATGTTCTATATGCTTCAGTTTTCAGTATTAACAACATAATATGATTCTTTATCTGTTAGCTGGTTTTCATAATTCAACTCAAAGAAAATATGTTATTTATTTTTTAATACAAACAAAGCAGACTGCTCTAAAGTATTTTCGGTTATTTACTAGCTTCACCGATATTTATTGTCACTAGAACATCTGAGTGTGTTAATTTCATCATGTAAAAAGTGGATACATTTCTCACTGCCTTTTCCCCCCAGTATTTCTGTTTGAATTTTTACTTTTTTTAATCCAATGTGTTCAAAAATGGTTTCATAAAACTAGGTTCCTGAGTGGCTTGAGTCTTGGAGTGTTGAGTACATAACAGTTATTTCAAACTTGTTGAATTGGTTGTTACCGCAGTGGTTTAAACAACTGAGCAATACTTCTGTGGCTGCTGTATTTGTATATACATTTATATAAACCAGTTGTCTGTTTTTGTGTCTGTGTTCCTCTCTTTGGTGTTAAAGGAATAGAAAATAAAGTCAATACAGTAGCCACTATTTTAAAATACTTGATTTTGGTTTTGTGTATAAATATTAAAGTATACCTTAATGCTTTCATTAGTTTTACCTTTACAGGTAAAAATGTTAACAGTTGTGGTGGAGTTAAAATAATTTTTAGAACTTTTACTTTCTTAATAGTGTTAAACTGATTGCTTTCAGCATGCCATTATGCCAGGAATTCAAAACCTTTTTGGATTTGAGGCATGCCTCCTTAACTTTGCAAATTGAGTGGCATTCGGTTTTAAAAAACAAATGTTATATGTTATAGGCTGCTTGCAGATGTTTAAAAAAAAAAAAAAACCCCAACAAAAACCTGTGCTTTACTGGAAGAAGCAGCGCTACACTTCAGCCTGGTTCCGCAGCATCTGTATAGATCAGGCACTTTAGCGAGGATTTTTGGTGCTTTTAGCTAAAGCTGATTTAATCTTTACAGACTTTGGGTGAGCTGGGTCTAACTAAGTTCTTGGCATGTGCGTGGCTTGGCATGGGGATCCACTGAGTTTTAAAGTAAAGTGCCATTTTTGTTGTTTTTAATGTCTGCGAGCAGGCATAATGCTTATCTCCTTACACAGGGGCTGGGCAGTAGAGGTGGAGGGGGATGGTCCAGACTGTGACAGGTCTGAACGTGGAGTAGCTACCTAGCTTGCCTGATTATCTCTTTGCACCCCACTGGCACCTTTCAAAGATCTGGCGGGATCCCAGGGTGCCCTGGCACCTTGGTTGAGAATCACTGCATTGTGCAGCAATATATTTTCTTGTTTTACTTTTTGTTTGCTCATTAATAAGAAAGTATTCTGGCCCAGATTCTACCTTGCCTAATTAGCATCTAAAGTCATCCCCAAATAAGGGTTTTGGACTCAGGAGAGCAATCTATTTTTCCTAGGAAGGCATATTGCGCTCTCATTCTCTTAATAGACAGCCTAGTATGTTTCCAGTGGCTGATACTGCCCTGCCTTGCAGGTGCACACATCTCTCCCATGCCCTGTGTACAGCATTAGATGTCTTCATCATGGTAGGAACTAGCTGCCTCAGAGCCAGATGTTCAGATGTACTGGTAGGAGAAAGAAGAGGGCCTTCATAGTTTTTTTTTTTTTTTTTTTCATGGTGGCCAAGAGCAATGGTGCTCAACCTTTTTCTTGGTGGGCCAGATGGGCAGTGGCCCTGACCTGGTGCCTGGGGTGAGCATGATGGGGCCCCATCCAGCCACACACAGGGCTGGGGGCAGCCTGGCCTGATCCAGTCCTGTAGGGGAGTTAGGGGTAGGGGGTGGAAGGGGCATGGCGAAGCACCATGGAGGGGAGAAGCCCCAATAACAGCTATATGGGGAGAAGAGTGCATGGCTGAGTTCCATGCAGTTGTGGGGAGGAGGGGGAAGGCAGTGGAGGGATCGTGGCCCAGCCCCATCCCCAGTCCAGTGGCGTGGAGCAGGGGGCCTGGCCTGGCCTGGATCTGGCTGTGCTGGCAGACAGAGGGTAGGGAAATTTGGCAGTGGGGGAAGGTGGCCATTGCTCCCCACTGCCAAATTTCCCAACCCATGGGGAGTCCAATGGGCTAGGTGCAGTGTTTCCGTAGACCACATTTGGCTCACGGGCCAGAGGTTGAGCACCCCTGGCCTAGAGGTTAGTGTGGTTGCTTAGGAAGTGGAAGGACCTGGATAGCCAGTGGGGGTTTAAAGCATCATCTTCCACTTCTGAGGAGAGTGCCCTAACAACCAGACTGTGAGCAGAACAGGGCTGAGAGCATCCTGTCTTTTCTGTAGAAGTGAGCCCCCTGGGTAATAAAAGATTTGTAAGGCCAGAAGGAGAACAAGTAACACGTGTTGTAAATATTTTACCTGTTACTGTTTGGCAGTCGCTTGGAAGGGAGCGAGTTTGGGATTCTGGCTCCTCCCTGCTTCCAGTGTTGTTTATACATTCATGTATATTAGCATTCATGTCATAGCATTGTAATGGCTGCTTTATGCTGCTGTGATGTCCTCAATGAAATGAGTGTCAGCTTTCCACAGGTTAATAGTAACAATGGAAGCATTATATTTATAGTCTTCTCTTACAACTCATACATTTCAGTGACTGATTTATTAATTCTGTTAATAAAACCAGTACTCTAATAGTGGCTTCCTGCAGTTTCAGCAGGAATGTGCATGTGCGTGCATACATGGCACACACACGTGACTTGGATGTTTTTATTGAACTTTTATGTAAAATTTATGGTAAAACAGGTCAAAATGTTAACCTTTTTAAATTAAATCAAAGTGGTTTGCTAGTGACCATAATAGTAACTTCATAATGATCTTCCTCAGGTGCAGCAGTACCAGCAAGCTCTCTTACAGCAGCAGATCCTTGCACAGCAACAGCAGTCACAGTCCCCTGAATATCTTACCTCTCCTCAAGAATTTTCACCAGCCTTAATCTCCTACTCAACATCTCTTCCAACCTGTGTTGGAGCAGCGATGGATTCCCCTTACACTACCAGTAGGCAAGTATCTTGTCAGTACAGGAGTCCTAATCATGTCAAAGTCCTGTTGTGATAGCCACTGTTCATGTTTTTAGTTTCTTTCTCAAAGACTGTTTCCTTTACCATTTGTAAACTTGTTTAAAATATGCCACAGTCTCCACACAACTTGATCGTATCTCTGTAGCAGATACAAATTCTCTAGTTGTAATGAATTAGTTTAGGATCCCCCACTGAAAGAATATATTTCCTGTTCCTGATAGTTTTTGGAAGAACTGTCTTTTTAGCAGCTGATTGCTGATGACATCTGCCTTGGAAGGTTGGGACTGAGTTGTTTGTGTAGTGAGTTCATAAAAAAGAACCTGATACTGTTTTCCACTCTGCCATTACTTTTTTCCAGACTAGATTTGAAATTTTTCAGATGCTGCTTTGTAGATGTCATGCATGGGTTTATCAGATGTTACATTTGCACCCCACAATCAGTTGATGTTTGAGACCTGAAATATGCAATCTGTAACACAAACTTGACTACTTTTGTTTCTCCTGGTATATTTCTCATTATAGTGACATTAGTTCAAAAAATGTGAAGGTTATGATTAGTTGTTTAGTATTAAGTTCATGGGAGACTGGTGCCGCCTTAGGGGAGCACATGCTCCCCCTGTGACCAGTCCTGCTGACCGGGGGGGTCCCCCCGTGGCCAGTCTCGCTGCCCCTTGCAGCTGATCTTGCTGCCCGGGGGTGCCCTAAGCGGCAAGTGTGGCTGGACAGGGGGTGCACCCCCTACATGTCTCCACTGATTAAGTTTCAGTTGGGCAACTTAAGTTATCTACTGTTGGTCTTCAGACTTCATATCTTGCCAGAAATTTGTTAATTTACACCATGTTGCATGAATGAAATTAATTTGGGTATAGTCACAGCTGCTCAAAAGTGTCCAAAGTGATAAAGCTCTAAATCTATGCCAGTGGGGAAGGAGCTGAAATGTGTTGATATCCTTGGAAGAAACAGCTATGTAGACTGGCATAGGTTCTGTATAAAGTACCACAGTAGCTCTGAGGAGAATTAATACAATCCTTGAACATCATTTTCCAGGGCCTTGCTACAAGCAACAGAAAACATTGTTACAGCAGTTACACTGAAAGCATGAAGCGTATGCATTTTTTGCAGATGTCTGGTATTCCACATGAGGTCCAAATAACTATTATTTACCATTTGAAGTGTCATTCTTAGCTTAAAAGTACAGGATCTTTCACTGTCCTTAGACTTGTGTGCCACAAAGGTCATTGGTGTAAATCCTTCTTCATTTAAAGAAACAAGCCAGCTCTTTCAACCTTGTTACCTACCTGGCTTATTAGACCTACCAAACTTTTAAGAAGCAATCAGGATGCATCTTTCCCTATCTGAGGTTACCCTTTCATTTCTGTTACCAATCAGCAGGTCAGAAGTTTGGTCCTTTCAAGAACTGTTCTAGAACCAGCTTCATTCTCTTTCCATTCTCTGCACCTCCTAAAGAAATTCTTAGTGTTTCGGGCTTTCCAGCAAATGAATATTACAATGCATTGGTGGGCCCTGAAGGCTATCTGGACTGGATTTTGATTCAGAGGAGATTCGGCCTGATTTGGCAGCTGAATCTCTGAATCCAAATCGAATTGAGAAGCCCATTAAAAGCTCTGAATTGAATCAAATTCTCCGAATTGATTCAGAAAAGATTCAGAGATTTGGAAGACAGACATGTAGGAAACAAACTGAGACCAGAGGGGTGGGGGGAGAATGCTCTGATATTGACATCTGTAGCTGGCCCGTGACACTGATCTTTCTCTGAGTTCCCTTCCAATCACAGTGCTCTGGGGGAGGGATGTAGAAACAACATATGAGGCTGTGTATGAACTCATTTGTGTGCCTTCTGTGAGCGATCTGTCTCTGTTGCAGCAGCAACGTCTGAGGGGCTCTGGCTTAGTAAGTAGTTTCTTGCCACCAAGTTCTATCCAATCCTTTCCTATTTACCCTTGCCTCCAATCCCTATTGTTATCCATTCCTTTCAGCTTATTCCTCACCAAAAATCCTCTGATTTGTTCTTGTTATGCCTGTCTTCCCCCCCCCCCCCCCCCCAC